CAAATTATGCAAAAGTCGTTAACAAACTTCTTACATTCATGCATCGTATATTTATAAGATATTTTTACCTCCGTTTGCAGTACCCAACAGAGCAGCAGTAAGGGACTTTTCGCGCTGCCACCCGATCGCGCAAGACCCCCTGTAGGGCCTTGTAAAACCCGAAAAAGCCCAGGGGGGGCTGGGCCTCTTTTTGACCCCTGCCGGCGATTCGCGAGTCCCCCTTACTGCTGCTGTCCAAGATTCAAGTTATTTTAATGAAGAAATAGAAAACGCGCGCGCGTGCTGTGTGCTGTCATAAAGCACGCGGGGGTTGGCAGAACACGAGAGAAGTGTTAGGAAAAGCACGACGCGTAGCGGAGTGCTTCTCGACACTTCTCGAGTGTTCTGCCAATCCCCAAGTGCTTTATGACTGCACACAGCACAGCAAGCAAGTTTTTTATTTCTTTTATAAATACAAATTACAATGATAGATAGGAATGGCGCAACGAAAAGTGCGCGCGCGTGCAATGTGCTCTCATAAAGCACGCGCTCCAAACCAATCAGAATGCGAAATTCATAACAGTTATTTTATAACTATATTTAAACTACTATCGCTGGTGAAAAAAAGTACCTTGATATCTGAACAACCCCGGAAGCCCAATTCAAATAAGCAACTTTTCTCTCTTCCAATCCCCTTTTTCCTAGCAATGCTGATTGTACACTTTGATGGCATGTGTCACCATTCGCTAGGCAAATCAACTTGGGGGGGGGGGGGTACAGTGTCTGGGAGTAAATTTTGGAATGAAATGAAAAATTTTTAAAATTAAATTATGCAAATATTGCCATGAGATTTTTAAAGATAAGCATAAAGGGTTTATTATTTTATTACGTAGTAGTAGTAAACTTGCATCTCACCTCTGTGGTATCTGGTTTAGTAATTCCTGGGCTTGTCATCATTAACTAGAGTTTGTTGGGTTTTTTGTAGTTTTTGAGGGGAGGGGAGGGGAGGGGAGGGGGGTGACCTTTGCAATAATATAATTAATGAAAATATTAAGTTTACGATTCAAACAGCCTTTCAGGGTATCAGAGACTCTACAAGTGACATTGCTGCTAAATATTATGTATCTTTTCTTTTGTTTCAGGTTGTTGACGTCATCTGCTTATCTAATATTACATTACTCGGACCCCATCTATCTGGTTAGTATCCATCGATCCCTTAGCTAGTTTATTTGTTTATTTTGGATGTGTTAAATTAGAAGAGAGGCGGTGATACAGAAAGACAGACAGACAGACAGACATACAGACACTGCGATAACTAGACGCAAGATAAAAATAATCGTTACATGACAAGAAACGCATTCTATCTCGCCAGCTATAACATTAATAATAATAATGATGATGATAATAATAATAATAATAATAATAATAAAAATATTCATTTAGACACGATATTAGTAGCTATAGGCTTCAGAAGAAGATCGAAAGGTCAACAAGAAAGATTTTTAACGACCACTATTTTATTGACTTATCTAGGAATGGGTATTCCCCATTTTACCGTATGAACTGTACTTTTTGGTGGACTTGCCAGAGCGCGTATGTCTTCTTCTACTAGTGATTGCCTATCTTATTATAATCGTAAAAGGATTGGTTCAGTTTTTCCGACGATGCAGGGCTGCTGAACAGGATCTCGTACGTATAATTATACGTATATATTCTTTTATTTTATATTGTTTAATTTTAGGTATATTTTGAAATGGTAGGTACGTCTTAAGGTGCGGGCACAGGATAAAACATTTGGCGAAATGTCCACCACGTATATGTCTGAATCGCAGCGCGAAATTAATCAAATTAGTTCCATTATGTGAACACGACAGTTCGTAAATGGTTTAACCGCGTTTGTCTGAATTAGATATTTCAGGTACCTGCAATACCAAAAGTTTGACTATAAAGCCTAATAATTTTACTTTTTCTTTTTTTTTTTTTTTTTTCTTTTTCGGTGAAATATAATAAAACTAATTTCTATTGAGTTTATGTTTTTCTTTTGAAATGATTTTCAACTTACTGTTTTGCACCTCGTATCTTAGCATCGAAGATTCATTAGGGATTCCTATGGATAGGGCGGGAAAACTCTAAATACGAAACGCGTACGCGTGTGCAGAAAAATTATTGTTGCTCCCCATCCCCTCACTTGGTCAAGACCTTGCTACGCCACTGCTCCGTGCATGCGCTTCGCAGACTTTTACATATTGTACGTTTATATGCGTCCCTTTTTTGTTTCACTTTTCAGGAGGAACAGCTTTGGAAAAACTCTTACCAATACAAATCTACTTTAAGGCTGCTAATGAAAACACCCAAAGGGTGAGTCACATACAGTTTAGCTTACAAAAGGCTCACCTCCCTTATGTACGGTCACTGTTGCTATTTTTTGTTAGCGGTTGAGCCAACTAAAAGTAGGAGTTACCTTCTTATAGAGCTTTTACACCATCCTCCCTGACTGCAGCCATTTTAGATGACAGTAACATGCAATACAATCGTTTTACATGAGAAAGAATTCAATTCCCGAGAGCAATGGGATTTCATTGTTCTGCCATCTAACTGCAGGCAGTCCAAGCTTTATTATGGGCGTCTGCACGTGATGGTGCAAAGCCTCTATTAAAAGACAAGTTTCCATTTAACTGATTGCCTTAAGGATGTTAACTGACACATAAGGAGATTTATCGCAGCAACATCTGTCATTTCTGCTAACGTTTTTAGGCGTTGCAAAAAAGGCATCATAGACGCAGTCAAATCAAAAGTATACAAGAGCCGACAAGGTAAAACCGTTCAGTTTGATAAGCACAGCAACACTTGCAGTATCATCATCGCGTTCAACAAGGTTGAAGGGGCGAACGGTGAATAGTGATCATTCATTGATTGGCGATTGCAAGTCCGAAAGGAGTTATGGTCATAGTTTATGATTCAGAGATTTGAATCATAAGCGTGTCAACTCGCCATATAAGGTCTTCGCTTTCAGCTGCTTTCGGGCGTGCAATCACCAATCTCTGATCACCATTCACCGTTCGCCCCTTCAACATTTTCTAAACAACTCTACGGCTCCTTGCTGTAGCAATATTAATGCCAACGCGCCTAACTTTTCCTTCGCTCCAATCATTTCTTTTATCATGGAGAACAAAAATACAATACCACTCCTCGCAGTCAGCTAAAGATAACGTGAATTGTGGAAAACAACTGTACGGCTCCTTGCTGTAACAATATTTACACTGACGTGCCTAATATAATTCCCTTTTCCTTCGCTCCAATCATTTCTTTCATCATGGAAAACAAAAACAAAATACCACACCTCGCAGTCAGCTAAAGATAACGTGAATTGTGGAAAACTTCTTATCACAGCTAAATCATATTTTTATCATATCTCTAGAATTCAAATACTCTACTCGTGTTATCTGCACATATGCTATTAGTCTCATCATATTATTTGAGGTGAGTATCCGCAGAACATCAACCAACCAACCAATAGGGGCCCGAGGGTGGTAGATGTAAACTAGCATACATTATCAAATAACAGTTTGCCATGACTGCGTGGATTTTAAGGTAAATTGAATGTCTTACCTTAATATTCAATCCTAAAGTTGTGCAAAAACTTGGACAATAAAATTGGATCCGCATTCCATCCCCGTATTACAGGTTTCGTGCTCACTCAAGCGAATCTGTAAAAGGTCTATTAGCAAAAGTACCAATCAAACCTCGCGTTCAATTAAATAACGGTTGGCCTTCACAGTTGAACGTACAATGCTTGAACTTAAACGATCGTGTGGTTTTGCGAATATTGATCAATTTTCTTCTAGGTTGGCATAAGACTGGTTATACTTGGCCTGCCCAAAAACCACTACCTTCTTTTTTATTTGTATCCCATTATAACTAAAATCACTATGGCGATGCTTGCATTTGGTTGGAATCCCATGTTAGCAAAGTGGACATTAATCATGCGAGGTAAGAAGAGTGTATAATGCATGGTATTTGTCAGATTAGTAGATTTCTTGCTAACAACTGGGCACTTCTTTTATAAAAGGTGACGTGCATGTCTTCCAATGAGGATAAAATGTCAAAAGGCATGCGCATGCGCGTGAGGTTTCATGTAACGAAATAACTGAAGATGAAAGCTTTTGTTTTGTTTTATTTTATTTTTTTTCGTTATCAACGTGCAATGAGAATAAAATGTCAAAATGCATGCGCAATCGTAAGGTTTCATGTAACGAAATCACTGAAGATGAAAGCTTTTGTTTTATCTCATTTTATTTTTTTCGTTATCAAATATGGCGGCAATGACGCCACATACCGATTATTTACACAAATTGTTGTGAAGGTGATTGTATGCGTGGAGGTGGCTAGAATGTCAAAAGCCCTTCCACTTCCATCYCCTCCAGGTTTCAGGTTTCTGATTTATGGTGTTTTACTTTATTGATAACACGATCGAAACGCCATTCGAGCCGCTAAAACTTGTTCGTTTCTCCTTCCTCCCAAACTTGAAGCTGTCTCCGCGTTACTGCTGCAAACTTATTTTAATGCTAACGACCAATTGCTAATTTTAGATTACTAATGATGGTTTGATCTCATTTTCTTATAGTTTCATGGTTCACTGCCATTACAATAAGCACCGCTTATTACATCATTGCAACAATCAACATGATGTCTTTGCACAGGTAAGGTCCAGTAGTAACACTAAAGCCTGAAGCCGGAATGGGACAAGGGTCAAWCCTCAGGTTGCAACCACAAGTTTCAAAATCCCTTGAGATACAAATAACAATGAAAGAACCGCCATGTTGGTTGATCCAACAAGAGAAGCTAATTATAAGGAGAAATGTTTTGTTATATTCAATCAGCATGGCGGCTATGATGTAATAACCATAGTTGATATTAACTATGATGTAACTGATGCACCCCAAGTGTAGTCCCTGAGGCGGAGCGGAGTTGGGCGGTTTTCTAAACCTTAGATCTTAAGGACGAGAGAATGTGTTGAGACTGAATATCCTCCAGCGTAATTTAAAGGCCTGAATGAGCCTACATCTACGTCTTTAGTAATTGATACTGCCGTTTGCCTTATTTTGCCACTGATTTAAATTAAACTATACCGTTGCCTTCCAAATATTTTATTAAAAACATTCGCTCGAATACGCGACGATATAATGTAACGTGCATATATGTTATCTTCTTACATAAAAGTGTCATGCTTAACAACAAGTATCTTTATTACCAATAATAATAACATATATATGTATATATATATCAAATTATGCTTTACAACTTGCATTAATGTTTATAGCCAAGATTCAGGTAATAGCTGCTCAGTATAGCAAGCTAATCGAGCTGAGCTGCCGTTATCTGTTTTTTCCCCCCACATTTTATAAGGCCGCCTTAACTACAGTCAATCTCAGCTTCTGAGTTGGACTGTAGATAAGTTCAAGGATGCTTCTTTATCTCTTTTTAGAAGTCATCTTAGGCGGTTACAGAGAGGAGATAAAAGCTTGCTGCCCAAAAAGATCCAAAAGGAATCCCCATCTTTTATGACAGTTAGTATTTTGTCTTGTAACGATAGCATATAAAGTTAATGTGAAACGTCGAACTTGAACCGAACCTAATGGCATCTCAGCATCATTAAGGCATGGCTCTCASATGAAAAACTGATTAGCTATATCATAGCCAGTTTTCTACGAATCTTCCTCAAACTTGGCAAGTTAATGTCCTTTGTGAAAAGAAGGAACCTTAGAGCCTTGGTTACCATGGAAACTAAGTCACGTGACCACAAGGCCGCCATCTTGGATTTTTAAACAAGCCGTTTGTAAACGTACCGAAACA